TCAGACTGTGGCTGAAATATCTGCCCTGAACCCTGGCCAGGTTGGGGCCAGAAACCCTAACTCTGCCACCTGCATGACCGCGGGCCCTCCGTCTTCCTGGGCCTCAGTTTCTTTATCGTAAAATGGGAGGGGGTGCACCTAGATTTACCCCCCCCCTTTAAATATCTGCACTCTCTCAGTTGTTTGCTTATCACAGGATTCAGGTGCTAATTAGCCGTGATCAAACAGGGCCTAGGGGCTATGGAAGTCAAGACTGGCAGGTTTGGAGAGGGGAAAGTTCAAGCCTGTGGAGGGTGTGATCTGGGGCACCCCTGGGGACCAGAGACAGCATAAGTGGCACCAGGCCAGAGGAACATCCTGCCTTTCCCCCAAGAGCAGTCAGAGGTCTAAGCCCATAGGGAAGAACTCCCGAGGAAGGAGCAAGGAGGCTCAGGCAATTTGCTCTCATAATGATAATTAATAATAATAATAATGATAATGAGATTTCTGGAGTGCTTTAAGGTTTTCAAAGCACTTTACAAATGTGATCTCCTTTGATCCTCACAACAACCCTGGGAGGCAGGTGCCATGATGACCCTCATTTTACAGATGAGGAAACTGAGGCACAGAGGGGGTTAAGCGACTTGGCCAGGGTCACACAGTAGAAGTGTCTGCGGCAGGACTCTTGGTCCCATGCTCTCTCGGAGCAAGGCGAATCCACTGGGGGTGACACAAAGTGGATCTAAGGCCGGTTCACCCTCCTCTCCCATCCCTGCCATGCCTACCTGAGGGAGGGAGAGCAGCCTGGGCACCACATGGCAGCTTTCTTCACTAGCTCCCCCAATTACCTTGTTTTTCATTTTATGTTTATTCTGCCTCTCCATTAGCACGCGATCTACCTGCAAGCAGGCACTGTTCCTTTCACTGTATTTGCATCCGCATAGCATGGCACAGCGCCTGGCACATAACGATTATTTGCTGATTGATTGCCAATTGTCAACCACACCTCTCTGCCACCGTTTCCCTGCCTGCCAAACAGAGGTATAGGTGAGGGAGTGTCTTGGGTATCCAGCCCTGGTCCCTCTGATCTGACATGTAAGTTGTTCTCCTTCTCTCGCCAGGGTCTAGGCCTCCACACCTCTCCTCCCTTGCTATCATCTTCTCTCCAGCCATTATCCTCACCTCCCTTGTCTGAGAGGAGAGCCTGGGAACAGTCTTCCAGAAATAAAGTGCATGTCTTTAATGCCAGTGATCTGCTGATAAATGTGTCGATGGGCATTCACTACTCTGTCCCATCAGCTGCCTCATTTTCTCAGGTGCACTCTGGGGTCCCTCCCAGATGACTCTGTGAAGAGTGAGTGAGGGGGCTGGCCAGGCAGAGGGAGCCCCCGCACTCCCCTCCACCTCCCACCGTGGCCTTCCAGGGCTCCAAGGTTGCCCGAGTGCCAGCAGCAAGAAGCCATCTCGAAGCTGGGGGAGAGGCAGGCCGGCAGGCAGAAATGACTCAGTCAGCCAGTTCCCAATTCTGCCCAGGCCCAACTTGGAACTCCAGGGGAGGAAGAAAATGAACCAGCTTTAAAAAGGGAAGTTTCTCAATTGTGAGAAAGCTGTGCCCTAAAGACATACAGGCGACCTCAGCCCTCAGAGACCCCGCCTTACAGAACTCTCACCAGTAATCACCAGATGCTGTGTCGTTCAGCACTGAACACTCGAGTTCCTGAGTCTGGGCTGATAACCCCCAAGTTACAGAGAGGAATCCAGCCAGGCAAAGGGCTTAGCCCAAGATCAGTCAGTCAGCCAGTCAACAAATATTTATTAAGCACTAGGCACGTAGTGTCAAGTGCTAGAGATACAAAGAAACGCAAAGAATAGTTATGGGGGAGCCAACTTGTAAATAACCTTGTACAAGCAAGCTACAGGCAGGGGATTGATCAAGACCTCCAGCAGAAGGCCAGGTTTAGCTAAGGAAAGGAAGCCAGGAGGTGGAGATGAGGAGGGAAGAGGATTCTTGGCAGGGAGGACACCCAGGGAAAACGTTCAGTGTCTTGTTCCAGGAACAACCTGGATCAAAGAATATGGAGGGGGAGAGGGAAGGCGAAAGAAGACTTGAAAGATTGGACAGAGCTAGGCTATGAAGGCCGGTAACAGCCAAACAGGGTACTTAGGTGGTGCAGTGGAGTCAGGAAGACCTGAGTTCAAACCTGACCTAAGACACTTAATAGCTGTGTGACCCCGGACAAGTCACTTCACCCTGTTTGTCTCAGTTCCCCATCAGCAAAATGAGTTGGAGAAGGAAATGGCAGAGCAGTCCAGTGTCCTTGCCAAGAAAACCCCAAATAGGATGGTAAAGAGTTGGGCATAACTGAAAATGACTGAACAAACAAAACAACAAACTTGAGAGAGGAGGACAGTGTGGAGTTGAGCTGGTTCACCAAGGAGTCAAGGTGGGGAAGGGAGGAGAGGGTGGCCAGTTGTAGGGGTGATGGTCTGGGTAAGAACCGAGGGGTCGAGGGATTGCAGGTCACCTTGAAGACAAGAGCTGGGTTTGGGGTTGCAAGGCCTCAAGTGAGGTGGAAAGATAACAGACTGTGATCAGATAGGAGAATTTCAGAGTTCCTGAACATGGAGGTGGCACATTTGTGGGTGATGGCAAGGCCAAAGGTATGGTCATCTTTGTGTGTGGCCGAGGTGCTGGGGAGGATATGGGTCAGGAGGAGTGAGCTGACAAATTGAGGATGTCTGAGGGAGAGTCAATATGCATGTTGCAGTTCCCTAGCTAGAGGGCCAGGAAAGTAAGGAGCTGAGGAGGAGATAAAGATCGGGAGCCACTAGAGTGATAGCCAGACTGGGAACCTGTCTTCTGCCTCCAGGGCTATCAGGCATCTCTACTTTCCAGGCCCTTCTCCCAGGCCCTCAGGCATCTGCCCCCATCTTACAGTATCCTTAACAAGCCTTTTAGAGTGGGAAGGGCTCTTAGGGCAGAGACCTTTAACCTGGGACCTGGGGCCTGCGGACTTACTGGTTTTCTTTTTTTGTTATTCTTTTGATTTTGTGCCCTTAGGAGAGTGTGTGGCCCTCAGCAGGTGCTTAATAAATGCCTATTAGCTGCAGTCTCAAAGAGGCCCTTTCCATGCCTTCACGTATTGGGAGAAGACAAGACAGGGGACAGGTTCTGATTTTTTAGTCACCTCTAAGCCTCCACAATGGTGGAGAGAAGGGCATTTCACAGCCATATTGCTTTCCTCACCACCTGGCCCATGCTCCCCTCCATCTCCCCATCATTAAACCCCCACAGCAGCCTCCAATCACACAGCAAACCAAAACGGAGCCTTCCTGAGGGCATCTGGAGCAGAGAGAACAGCTTTGAAATCCCTGGGCCTGGGCTTAGCACAGTTCCCAGCACACACTTGGAGCTCAATAAATGTTTACTGACTGGCTCTCTTTGAATCCTGACTCTGAATGACCTTGGCTGAGTCCCTTTCCTTCTCTGGCCTCAGCTTCTCTGACACAAGGGGCTTGGACTACACAGTCTCCACTAGACCCATGGTCCCATGACCTTGGAGTCTGATCCCCCCTTTCTTCAGTAGGAGCAAACTGAGGCCAGAGAGTTGTGTGCCGTGACATGTCAAAGTTGAACAAAGCAAAAACAGCAGGAATTTCTCAGGCCTTAAAGGTTTGCGAAGTATTGACACAATCTCTCCTTAACCATCTGCGTGGTCGGTGCCATTATTATCAGCCCCTTTGTACAGATGAGGAAACTGAGGCCAGCTGAAGTTAAATGACTAGGATGGAAAGCAAGATTCAAACTCGGGTCTCCTGGTGCTCTCCATACTCTATGCATATGGTAAGGGAGCCAGAATTCAAAGTCCTGACTCCACATACAGAGGTTTTAAGACCCGAACTAGGTCACCTGAGAGATCAATAGTCACTATTCCCAATCTGCCTCCAGATCCCACCATTATGTCCTTCTCTTGATCCAAAATGCCGCAGGAGCGTAGCCTTTAAATCTGCCCAGGCCTGATGAGACCATCTGTCTGAGGCCCTTATTTGACCAAGGCACGAGACCTGTGCAGGGCAGTTTGTACTATTTTGGTCCTGTGGGTTGTTTTTCTTCCTGCCTCCCCCTCGCCTCTCCTCCATCACGGTAACCTCCTAAGGAGTTTTCAAAGCCGTGCTGATGACCCTCAAACTTTCTCCAGCAGCTCCCACGCTGTTCCTCTCCTGGAGGTAACGAATAAATGCCTTTCAATGACGTTGAAACCAATGCCCCTCAGCCCACACCAGTGGCACGCACCGGGGCAGCAGGGAGCCCGGCGCGGAGGACAGCAAAGCCCGACTTTTCGGGGATAGGAGCAGACCTCCGTGTCCCGGCAGACCGAGGCTCCCCACTCATAACGGGCTGCTTCGGGGCTCTGCTCTCAGAACGGAGCCTTCCCAGACACACGGGGGGGGGGGGGCGATCACCCAGGGTCACCCACCTCCCCCTTTGCGCCTAAAGATGCCAGTGATCTGCCCCCCCCAGGCCACTGGACGCCCCGCAGGGTGGCCTCCATCGGCATCCTGGCTACCCTCCCTCTGCTCCCCCGCTGGAGAATGCTTGGCACGGTGCTGGGCTCAGGCTGAGAAGCCTCCTCCGAAGGCAGGCTCTGGGACCTTGGGCAAATCTCTTCCCCTCCCTGGGTCTCAGTTTCCCCGTCTGGAAAATGGGGAGGTTGAACCAGAGGACCTGAGAGGTCCCCTCCGGCTCTAGACACCCCCAAGTTTGCCAACCAGGGGTCGTGCGCTGCTCTCTCCACGGGGGCTCTGGCCCACAGAGGACCCACGGCCACCCCACGCGGGGACCCCTTCACCGAGGGTCACAGTCCCCTCCCCTCCTTCACCCCGACCTGAAATCCCCACGAAGCCCACGCCGCGCCCCCTCCTCTACGTGTCAATTACAGCCAGGTCAATTACTGGAGGCTCACTCTGACCTCGCGACGTGGCCCCCCCACCAGCCCCTCCCTCACGCGCGCCCTACTCACGGTAGCGTGGGCTGGGCAGGCGGCGCGGCTCGCTCTAGCTCGCTCTAGCGCGCTCTAGCTCCTCGCTCTAGCTCGCTCTAGCTCCCTCTCTCGCGCTCTGGGTCCCCAGTTTCTCCACCCCGGGCGAGGGGCGGGGCCGGGCCCGGAGTGCGGCCGCGCGGGGGCGGGGCGAGGGGCGCGGGCCCGCGAGGGGCTGGGCGATGGGGGCGGGGATTGCGGCGAGGCGCGCGCCGGGGTGGGCGTGGCCTAGAGGGGCAGCGTGCGGCGATTGGGTACTGGGATCACCGCGCGCGCACGTCAGGTGGGAGGTTGGCGCAGAGGAGCGCGGGGAGGCGGGGCACTCTCGAGTGGGTGGGGCGAAGTGCGGTAAGGTAGTTGGTTGGTTGGTCGTTGTTGTCGTCCGTCCTTGTCGAAGAGGACATGACATCACTATATAGGCGTCAAGGTACGGTGTGTCTGACTGTGGCTGCTCAGGCTAAGGTACCGGATGCTCTAGGGAGGAGGGACTGGGACAAGAATGGCGATTGGGTACCGAGATCGCCAGGAGGAGGGGCGAAGCGTGGCGATTGGGGACGGGTGGCGCGGGGAGGCGGGACGGAGTGCGGCGATTGGGTAGGCGAGCGGGAGGTGGCGGGGCGCACGCTGGAGGACGGGACCCGCCGGAGGGCGGTGATTGGGCGAGGTGGGCGAGGGGGCGGGGCTCATTGCAGGCACGCGGGGCACGATGGCGGCTGCGGCGGTGGCGTTGGCCGCGGCGTCCGCGGCGTCGCGCCGCTCTTGGAGACGTCTCTTCCGGTGGCGCGCTCCAGGCTCTCGGGCTCCCTGCGGGCTGGTCTGCGCCACCCGGGGCCTGTCAGGTAGGAGCCGGCTCAGCTTCGGCCGGGCCCGGGTCAGGGTCACGGCTCAGGGTCCCCGGCTTGCTGCTGGGAATGACGATGACGTCAGCGCCAGGGGGCGGACCCTGGAGACGCGCGCCCCCTGCTGGCCGCTCTCCTCCCTCTCTGATGGCACCTGCTCGGGCTCCTTGGTGCGACACCAAGCACTTATTGAGCGCCTGTTGTATACTAGGCCGCCGCCCTCCAGGAGCTGCTCGTCCAGCTAAATCAGATGATGTAGACAATGAGCATTTATCGATCGCTTTTGGTTTTTATTTATTCCTCACCTGGAGCCGCGATGCTTTTAAGGTGAGAACTCTTATAGGTGAGAGCAGCATCTGTGCCCGATGAGAAGTCAAGCCAGCAGGCACTTATTAAGCGCTTACTGTGTGCAAGGCCGGGAGCCAGACCTGTGATTTCACTGGTTCAGGGAATTCTGTCCACCCATTCAGATCTGCACCTCCTGGACACCTTAGTGACTTACCCAGGGTCACACAGCCAGCAGGGGTCCAGGGTGGGACTGGAACTCCGGTCTTGACTGCAAGGCTAGCCCTCCATCCGCTAGGCTGCACTACCCAGTAATAATAGCCCATATTTCTATTGCACCTTACAAATCAAGAGTGCCAGAAGGGTTCCCTGGGCCTCAGTTTCCCCACCTGTTCTCTGTGGTCTTTAAAAGTCCTTTCCAGCTCAAGATCTGTTAGCTGATGATTTCTCTACAGAGGATTCCCAGATGTTCATCATATCCAGCCCTTACCTCTCTCTAGAGTCCTGGGGCCACATCTCCACCTGGATGCCCCATAGGTGCCTCAGGCTTGACATGTTCAAAATGTAGCTTGTCTTCCCCCACGCTTCCCTGCTGAAGGCTCCCCTCCCCTCCTCTCCCCCCCTCACATCCCCCTTCGCTCGGATCATTTCCTGCTTATCCCCTCTCCGGTTGGCTGGTTCTCCATCGCCTCCCCCATCACACCGAGCCCCTCCGGGAGAGGGCGGCTTCCTGTGCATCCTGGCTTTAGCGGGGCGCTGGGTATATATTGTTGTGTAGTCATTTCAGTCATGTCTGCCTCTTTGTGACCCCTTCGGGGGTTTTCTTGGCAAAGATCCTGGAGGGGTTTGTCATTTCTTTCTCCAGCTCATTTGACAGATGAGGAAACGGAGGCAGGGTAAACTGACTTGCCCAGGGTCACTCAGCTTGGACGTGTCTGAGGACAGATTTGAACTCCCAGCTCCTAAAATAGTGCGCACATGCAGCAGGCACTTAATAAAGCCAGACTGAATTAAAGAGCCACCTGGCAGAGTCTGGCAGCAGCTGCCAGAGGGGAGAGAGGGCAACCTAGATTTGGGAGACCTGAGTTCAAGTCTGCTCTCATGGGGACTGACTGTAGGGCCCTGGACAAGCTATTTACCCTGGGCCTCCAGGAGGCTCAGGGGCAGGTTCTCCTGGGGAGGCAGATGTTCCTGGAGGAGAAGCAGGTGCCCCTGGGGGGGTGGGGCACATGTGGAGGGGGGAGCAGGTACACCTGGGGGACAGATGAACAAGATGGGGGGCAGGTGTGCCGGGAGGTCGGGTGTATGGGGGGCGGGAGGTATGGGGGGGAGGCAGGTACACGAGGTGGGGGGGCAGGTATTTCCCAAGCCATACTAGCTAGTTCTTTTTCCTTGTTTGACCTTCACCAGGGCAGCAGAGGCAGCCTGTGGTTTACATTCTGCCCTCCACTGATTTAAAGGGTACCTTCTGACCCCAGGTGAGCCAGGTGCTCACAGTTGAGGTTGCTGAGGGCTCCAGAGAGGGCCCCGTGCCCCTAGCACCCCTGAGCAGTGGTTTGGGGGGGTCCTTCATATGACAGGGCTCAGTCTACGCCAGAGAATGCGATTCAGGAGTGTTTCAAGGACCTCCTCTGTCTGGCCTGGGTAAGCCTGGGGGGTCGTGGTGACGGCCACTCAGGGTCTCTCCCCCCGGAGCAGCCTGTGACCTGTGAATTCCACATGGGAGTTTTTTAAATGAGCCTCTGCTGGTCTCAGAGGTGCAGTCCCGGGCCCTGAGCCCATGTACATCTGCCTGTAGACCTGGGTGATTGCACGCAGCTTCAGGCACCTTCCTCCTCCTCGTGCCCCACATAGCCAGCCAGCACTTACTGAGCACCTACTGTTTGCCAGGCCTTTCCCTCAAGGAGCTCCCAGTCCAATGAGGGAAACAACAAGGGGAGGCCCTGGAAGACAGCGGCGTCAAATTGTTCCTGTTAAGCCCTTAGCCACTCCCCTAACATGGAGTAGGCACTTAATAAATGTTTATTCCATTCCATTCCTGTAGAAAGCGGGATTGAAGCTGGGCTTCAGAGGAAGCCAGGAGGTAGAGATGAGGAGGGAGAACATTCCAGGCAGGGGGCACAGTCAGTGCAAAGGCGTGGAGGTGGGAAAGGGACTGGCATATTTGAACAGCTAGGAGGCAAGTGTGGAAGAGTGGGAAGTGGGGATGGGTGAGTTGGGGCAGGGAATAAGGCTTTACTGCAATCCCTCAATTGTGGGGATATCCATCTACTAGTGACTGTGTCCCAGAGCCCCCAGGGGCCCCTTCCCACAATAATGGTTGTTCGCTTATGTTCGTAGCTGAAGGAAATGCTCAAATTCAGCCTGAGGTTAGTGGAAATAACGCTGTCTTGTTTTTGCACCTGAGTTCCTGGGCTCCCTGTGCCCGGGGTCTCTACACCCGGACCATTGCTTGGATACTTGCCCTTCCCGGTCTTCGGACATCTCCGGCCCCTCCGAGGGTGGAGGGGAATGACTAGACAGAACACCCGAGTTGGCAGCTGCACACGATTTATTGGTTACATGCTCTCCTGCCTCCCATCGTCCCAGCCTCTGGTCTCTCCCTGGCTCCGACTCCTGATCTCCTCCCCCAGACACCCCTGGGTCCCGCTCTTATAGCCCTAGCTCCACCTCGTGGGTAGAACTTGCCCGAGCTCCTCCCATGTTCCTCCTTCGTAGGTAGAGCCAGCGTCTGTTACTGAGGCACTCCCAGTACCCTTTCGGGCAGGTACTAACCTCCAGGCGTCTCTTACTACCCCACAGGAGGCCACGGTCCAGAGCTGGGCCCTAACATCCCTGAAATTTCCCTGTGGCGGGCCCCTTGCAGGAGCCCCTACTCTGGAGGCATCAGGAGAGACTGTTCTGGGAGCAGAGTCTGAAGAAAACCTGGGGTCTGATGAGCTGAGAGAGGGCTGGCAGAGAGGGCAGCCAGACGGGGGGCTCCCAGGGCATTCTGGGAGGGCAGTAGGGAGCTCTTGAAGGTTTTTGAGGAAGGGGCAGTGGGCCGGAGCGTGCTGTCAGAGGATCGGTGGAGGGAGGGGCCCCCAGAATGTGCCGTCAGAGGATTGGTAGAGAAAGGGGGTCCCATTTTGCTGGAGGAGAACAACTCTGTCGGACAGGGAGGGCTGGGGGGAGGCCAGCCTAGACTTGGGTGAGAAGGACCTGTGGACAGAAGGTGACAGCTCTCCCACAGAGGCTGCCTGCCCTGGGGCCCTTCCAGCGTGGAGATTCTGACGAGAGGGATGGTATCAAAATGGGGCATGTGGTTTTTTTTTCCTCTCTTCATTTGGAGAAATAAAGCCCTTCCCAGCAGCAGCCAGTGTTTATCTACTTGAGAAGGTCTCTGGGCGTAAGGGTCGGCCAGCCCTGTTCTGGTCCCTGACTGATTAACCTGGGGTGGGGCCTTTATCTGCCCTCCCAGGCAGCTCCTTGGAGCTCCTGGAGCCCAGAGAGCAGAGCTGGACGGAGCCCCCGGAATGGCAGGTCAGTTGGCTCAGGGCTGCAGGGGGACCCAAACGACCAGCAGCTGGAATGACTGTCTTCCCAGGTTATTGCCGCTGAACTGGCTTGGGTGATTTTAGACTTTAGCTTTGTGTAATGTTACAGGAGTGAGGAGTCTGCAGCCTCGAGGCCACACGTGGCCCTCTAGGTCCTCAAGTGCGGCCCTGTGACTGAATCCAGACTTCACAGAACAAAATTGGTTAAACCCAGACTGAGCCTGTGGGGGGTAGGAGGGAGGCAGGCTGGGTAAGACATCGTCCTCCGCCCTTGTGACCTGGAGCTGCTAGAGATAGTGTCTCTGTCACTGAAAAATGCTGCTGGATCTGGGCCGGCGTGGCGTTGGGGGTGCCCCCCACCAGTGCCCAGCACGGCCCCAGGGGCGCAGGCTGTGTCTCCAGGAAGTGGAAGCAGGAGCGCATGAGTCGGGGTCGGTGGGGTGACCAGGGACGGCCAAGCCGGGCCACAGGCCCAGGCATGGAAACAAGGCCAAGGTCAGTGCCCAGCACGGGGAGGGACCCAGACCGGCATGATTAATCCTGGTTGCTTAATGAGGGCAATGTTGATGTTTGTTGGCACAGGTACCTTTTATGCCCAGGAGGTTTTCAGATCCCTGTGGGTCTGTGACTTTTTATAAAGACCTTTGTACTAGCACTATTCTTTAGGACCCCATAGCGAAGGCTCGTCAGAGACCACTCTTGGGGTTCTAGAATGGAAGGGAATCAACATCTCTCCCATTGGCCCTTTGGGCATGAGCTCATGGTGTGCAGGGGGGAGGGCTGGTGAGAACCCCCCATCCTATCAGATCCTGCATATGAGGGGCACAGGTGTGGGCAGCGCCCAAGGAAGCTGCGGGGGCCTCTGAGGGGGCTGATTCCCGGAGCTTGCCCCAGCCACGAGGTGCTTGTTGCTTTCTTGAAGGAAGAACAAGAGTTACATGGAGAAATCCAATTTCCATTTGATTCAGTGTGTGTCAGGCAAACAGTAACTGCAAATCAGAGATAAAGTCATTCTGGGGGCCAGGGGAGCCCCAACCAATGGGGGAATCAGAGGAGGACTCTTGAAGGGAGCTCAGGGTTTCAGGAGGTGGAATTGAGAAAGGAGGGCATTCAGGTAGGAGGCCCAGCCTAAGCAAAGGCATGGAGATGGGAAATGGACTATAATGTATAGGAAACAGCACATTGGGCTGGAGAAATGTGAAATAGGAGGAAGAAAGCAGGAGCAAGCTTGGCAGGAGCTGGCCTCTGCCCTCAAGGTGCTGGGGAGCCCCTGTAGCTTCTAGAGGGAGAGGGGCCTGGTTAGCCCGGGGCAATTGTAGCTGGCAGAGGATGAATTGAGGGTGGGGAGATTGGACGCAGGGAGGTCATTGAGGAGGCAAGCAGACGCGATCTCAGGCCGCCTGCCCACCTCGGGAGTGGCCTCAGCACCCTGGGGTCCCCCCGGGCCTTAGTGGCGAGGTGAGTTCAGGCTCGGAGGCATCTGCTGGACCAAAACAGGAAGAGCCCAGAATGGGAGAGAAGCAGAAAAGGGAGACCGCGGACAAGGTACGCGAGTGCTCGCTCACAGGCCCGGGGTCACCAAAGGCCGCTGCCCAGCAACGGCTGTGGGTGCAAGCAGAACCCATTTCCAAGGACCTTGTGGCCCGCTCAGCTCGAGGAAGTAGACTCTGTGCGAGTGGAGGCCAGGCGACCCAACCGTTCTTGCTCTTTTTAAAACCGACCAGACCCTTTCAAAGCCTCTGCCCTGGGCCAACCCATGAGTGCCCGGCCCTTTCTCCAAATCATTAAAATGGGTCTATGCCTTTTGTAGGTAGCAATGAGTATGATTTGCTGGTGATCGGCGGGGGTTCTGGCGGCCTGGCCTGCGCCAAAGAAGGTATGTCGGGTGGGGGAGGAGGCACCCACCCTGTGCCCAGTGCCATCCACCTGTTAGATTGACACAGGAATGAGCGAATGAACGAATGAATGAATGAATGAATGAATGAACGAATGAACGAATGAATGAAGACTAAGCTCTTAGTGAGTAGACACCAGGCAGACACCATGCCAAGCACTGGGCCCTGCCCACGCTCCAGGAGCTGAGCCCTCATCCAGGGGAGGGGGTGGGCTTCATGGGCCAGAGGCGCCTACTGGGCCTGGCCAGTTCCGATGCCTCACCATGGTCTGGAGGCTGTGCCAGGGCCCTGGACGAGGGTCACAGTCTTTAGCCCCACTGAGCTCCTGCCCCGGTCAGCGGCTCTCAGACACCAGTCTGTGCTGGCGGAGGGCACGCTCCCACCGACCAAAACAGAGTTCCTTGAGATGTTGAAGCCCTGGATATGCTGGCCGTGGAAGATGGAGAGGAGGGCGGGCATGGGTGCCCACAGTGGGCAGAAGAGGGGGCAGGGAATGTCCCCTGCAGCCGTGACCGCCCAGCTGGACTATTCTGCAGTACACAGGCCTTAGCAGAGAGGATGCTGGGATGGATCAGAGACATCGCCAGGTTTTCCTTCTGGCCCTGTCAGGACAGGGGCATCAAGCATATCACAGCGCTAAAATAACCTGGCTTCTTTAACCATGCCCCTCCATGGCTGTGGTGGGCATCTGGCATGTTGGGGGTGGAGCTGGGGAACCTGGGAAACCCCCTCCCTGAGAAGTAGGGGTCAGACTTTGCCCTTCCCTGATACTGAAGTAAACACTTTGCACCTCTCTGTTTTCTACCCCCTCTCTCTTTCCCTCTCTCTCTCTCCCCTCCCCTCTCCCCTTCCTTCCCTCCTTTCCTCTTTTCCTCCTCTCCATTCTTTCCTCTCCTCTTGCTCTCCTTCCCTCCTTCTCTCATCCCTCTTTTCTCTCTTTCTCCCTCTCTCTCTCTCGCCCCTCTCCCCTTTTCCTCTTTGCCCTCCTTCCCTCCCTCTCTCATCCCTCTTTTCTCTCT